TGGCCCGCGTGGGAGCCGAGGCAGGGCCGCCGCCTGGTGCCCTCTGGACAGGAGACCGCGGTTTATTCACGACCTTTCCGGGATGGGGCACCTCTTGGCGGGAAGGCGGGGGGGGGGAGAGTGCCAGTTTGCCAAGCGCCAGGGATGGAGGCCAGGCGGCGAATAGACGCGTGTGGAACAGCGGGAGTGGAATAGGGAGGCAGATGGTTCACGACGTTACCTTTTCGCTGACACGTGTACTCATTTGCCAGGCTTGGGAAAGCGCGGCGAACCATTACTGGCATTTGGGAGGAAGGGGCAATAAAACCCTTTTGCCCGTTTTCAGTTTTTGACAGGTGTGAACTAAATCGGCCCGCTTCTGATCGGGTAACTGCTGGAGGAGCCAGCGGGCTGCTTTGCTTCGAGCTGGGAGGTGTGGGGACCATTTAAGTCATTGGGTGACTTCGGTGGAGCCATTCTCTCTCTGAAGCGGATCGAACCCACAGGGTTGGTGCGAGATACAGTGCAAAGGAGGAAATGGGCATCATCCTGCCATTCTGGGCTAGCTGGAGAACAGCAGGAGTGTCCAAGGGAATTCTGGCGCCAGCCAGCCAGCCGAAATCGCACGGTGGTATGTTCGTGTAATGCAAAATGGCTGATGGTCGGATCCCAAAAGATCTCCTGCATGGAGAATTAGTGCAGGGAAATCGCCCCAGAGGGAGACCACAGCTGCAATACAAGGATATCTGCATGCGGGATCTGAAAGCCTTAGGAATGGACCTCAACAGATGGGAAACCTTGACATCCGAGTGTTCAGCCTGGAGGCAGGTGGTGCATCATGGTCTCTCCCAATTTGAACAGACCCTTGTCCAGCAGGCTGAGACAGAGAGGCAGTCCCAGAAGCAGCAAAATCAGGGAGCTGGACAGGGGACAGATTGTCTTTGTCTTCAGTGTGGAAGGGATTGTCACTCTCGAATTGGCCTTCTCGGCCACACTAGACGCTGTTCCAAGTCCTCAATACAGAGCACGTCACCATAGTTACTCGAGACTGAAGGATGCCTAAGAAGAAAGACAGCCCGCCACTACAACATAGTGTGCCTGTTTGTTTACATTAAAAAGTACATATAGGATGTGGCAGCAAGTGTACTCTGCTTGCCTCCCCACAGAGATCACTCGCGGAGACACAGAATATAAATATCACAAAGGAATATTAAGGTGGGGGGGACCCTATGTGCTTACAACTCTATTCTATAACCCATTAGTTATATTCAGTTTTTGTAATATAAGATTAAAAATATCAAAACCTACTCACATCCCTAGGATTCTATTAGTTTCATTTACTGTTCTGTTCAGTATTGATTTTACAGAGGTGAGGGGAAGTTCACACATCTTTTAAAAAAGGTATGTCAGTGTGATATGAAATACACAGTTTTGAAGGACCTTTTGCATGGATTCTTCTTCCAATCCCTCTTTTCTGTGTGGACCTTGCTGAATCAATTCCCCCTCCCCCACTCTTTAGGACTTTGTGCAAGAAAATAAGTCCTAAGCCTACTCTAGTAATGCTGTTCCAGGACTTAATACTGTCATCTAAAACCTCAGAGGTCCCTATACCTACTTATGTCCATATGTGATCTTTGCTGGCACTGTCCTGATGCATTTTCTATAAGAAAAATGGGCCAGTCTTGGAGCAAAAGAATAAATGGAGACCAATGTAATATCAGAGAAATATTTAAAAAGCCAAAGAGGGAACACTTGGCTGGCTTTTGGGACATTCCCTGCCTGGCCCCAAGGTGACCAGCATGGAGCCAATGAACTTCCAAGGGGAAACAGCTGAGCAAGAATGCAACAGTAGTTCACCTCAGTGAGCCCTTATGGCTTGAATAGGGAGAAAAGTTTTTGCTACTTTAATGAATTAGGATCTTTATTGGATCTCTAAAAAGTTACAAATCAGGTGAGCTTTTTAGTTCTACAGAAAACATCATCAGACGAAGATGGCATCAAGTCTGGACTTCAAGAAAGCAGATTTGGGGTTCTGCTCGAACCCTGAACTTTCTGTTATCTTTGCCCAATATATAGTTCTGTAAATTTAAAGCTCACCATATTTCTAACTTTTTAGTGAGCAAATCAACTAATCCAGAATGTTGCTTCTATGAATGAATCACAGTTTTTTGGGGGTTGGAGAAGTTACTTAATTACTGTTGTGCACTGCTTTTGTACTTTTCACATTTCACTTCCCTCTGAACTTGCACATCACAGTCCCTACCTCCACCCATGGACATACATAATAGTTTATCTGAGTAACATTTAAAGGTGGCTATAGTTTGACGACACATTTTAATAAAAATCCTTAGATGCTCCAGAAGACTCTTTGTCGTTTGATTGCAAGAGAGGAACCCATCCACCCCAGAAATCCTTTCTCCTGCTTGACTGTTCCATATCACTTATATCTGGTTGTGATAAATGGAAATTTACACAATCTGATCTCACTGGATCACCTCACCGTTTGTTTTAATGTGAAAAGATGCTCTAGGCTTTCAAATAGCCTTACTCTCAGCCATAGAAATACATCTGCAAAGTGTCATCTAGGATAAGAATACCTGGGTGTGACTCAGTAAAGATGTCCTTGGCTCAGCCTTCACTGCAGCAAATGTAATTCCTGTGTCTTTCTAGCCTCTAGAATAAACTTAAGTGTTCAGCAGGTGATTGTGTGTCTGGGTCTTTACACTGGCTGCTAAAGGAAGAGCCTCCTTACCAGAGAACAATTAGAACATGCAACATCTTAACCACAGATTTTTATATACAGTAGTTTATTTTTCTGTGCTTCCTCCCCACTAACCTTTGCAAAGGGATGTAAAGAGGGAGGGGGAGAGGGAGAGAGAAAACATTTTCCATGTCTCTTGGCATCTTGGCAAGTTGTTACAAGATAATTACTTGAGCTTCAGCTTGTCTATTTGAAATCAATATGAACTTCATTACTGAAGGATCTGCTGTGTTTTAGTGCTTAGGACCAAGTATTCCTTACAATTAAATTATGCTACTTTGGAACTGGCACTGTGCATTCCAGTCACAGCATTGTCTTTAAACGCTCCAAATTAGTTTAACTACTCATAGCTGTCAATTGTTCACCACAACAACTGGCCATGAAGGATCCCTGAATCTGAAATAAGTTTCATGTCCCCTCTTTCAGGGCATCTTAGGGGATATAATTACATCTTAGCTTTGCCACAAAGAAATTCCTCTTAACAGCCACTGGCAGTAGGCACCAGACTCTGTATGTTTGATTATAATAAATGGGTAGAGTGAAATGAGGGAGGTTGACACATTTCGCTCTACTGTCTACTGTACATTTCTTACATATTATAAATGGCCAGCAGGTGGCAATCGTCTGCTCAGGGTGAGAAGAAAATGGATGGAAGCAAAGGAAGAGGGAAAATGAGCATTTCTTGTGACTGTTCAGATGAACAAGGTGATCCTGTTGCTTTTACAAAAACAAAGAACACCATACTCTGGAGTTTCTTAGGAGATAATTTATGCAAGACAAAAACTGAAGCAAGGTCATGATTTCCTGAGTGATTTTATTCAGCCATAGCTCAAATGAAGGCCTACAGATCAACTCTCTCCCAATGCAGGTCTTACAGTATGACTAAACAGAATATAGTGGATTGGCTGCTTTATCTTGTGATGAAAATCCCACTGGAAAAGTGAGGGGGGGCTTTAAATGTGGCAGATGGCTAACTTTAATCTGGGCCACAGCAGAATCTAAGGAATTCTAATTTTGGTCACACGGGTATCATTGCATTGTCTGTGCACATATTATTGTCCTAACATGGCTTTTGTGTGCTTCCTAAGAAAAGCAGAGCTTTGCAGCTGAAACTATTGCTCAACTCACTCTCAGTGTGGCCCACTTTCAGATTTGTTCTGACAGTGATATACCACAATATTCACAAGTGTGTTCCACATATTAAAAAAATTCTGGTGAAGGCAAATCCCAGTTTTAACTAGTTTGCTGACTGTATCTGTCATTTGGTACCCAACTTTAAAACTTGAGGCAATATCTCTCCGATTCAGGTAAATTATTGTGAAGTATGGAAATACAAGTCAAATCCACTCAATGAAAAGAGCACACAGTATTGAAAAAAAGTCAGATTAAGTTCCATTTAGCATATTTATTTTACATGACAATACACAAAAGTTATATTTAAAATTCTCCAAGAGGAAAATGTTTGCTCACCTTTTTTTCCCAATTTTTAAGCAGCAGTTCCAAAATAACAGTGCAATAATTGCCCAGGATTCCTACAGCGACAGAGTTACAGCATCATAAAGGTATTAATTGACATACACCATTCAGGGGCTGTAGCCTCTCAAAAAATGTTTTACTTGTATGGGTACGCACACACATACACACACACACACAATGGCCAATGCTGTTAATAGAAACATCACTAGAAGCACCACTTAATCTTTGAAAGAACTGACAACAAATTCCACCGGTTTTCCAGAAAATAAATAC